GTCGCCTCTGTCATCGCCTCTGTCGTCAGCGTCACCTCTATCATCACCCGTGGATGCATGTGTTCCCGACGCAAAGAAATCATCATCGTCGCTGGATGTGCTGTCGAACAAGAAATCACCCTCGTCCCAACGCATGCGGGCCCTGCGAATGCCACCATCCGTCCGCTGTCGCCGAGTCCGAGGAGCAGAACCCGCATCGCCACGTGTACGTCCTCCGACACCTGCTCGTCCACAACCGCCACGTCCCCGACCACCAGCCCTGCGTCGCCTCCTATCCGACTCCGCCACCCGACGCTCGGCTTCCATGCGGAAAATGGCGCGCATCCTCTCTCTGGCGAGGCTCAACTCCTCCTCGGTCACCTTCGTCAGAACACCGGTACCTCTGACGAGCTGCTGGTCCACGGCTGCCTCGTCCTCCATGGCCTGCCAATAATGCACCCATTTTCTGAAGACGCCGGGCCTCTCTCCAACACCATCGTCGCACAACGAAGGTCGATCGAGTAGCCTGAGGTTCCAATGGCACCGCACAAGCTTCTCAGCCCGGGGAACCTCCAACCTGTTGCGAGACTTCGAATGAGTGAAGCTCCAACGAGACCACGCTCTCTCGCACGGTGAGGCGGTCGCCCATATACGAAGGATCCTGCYTGCAAACACGGCCGTGTGAGGGAACTTCGCCTTCTTTGAGGACCAAAAATTGGCAGGGTGATCAAAGATATCCGCAGCTCGCCACATGGTGAGCTCATCGAAAGGGGGCTCCCTCGTGTGGAGCTTGGCGACCGCTCGTTGGACCTCCCGGTGCTGCGGCGAATCCTCCGGGTAGCCGAACTGGACAAGGGCCTCGACCAAGGACTGCTGCACCTCCGCATCGTCACAAAGCGTCGCGTCCCGGAACTCTGGATCTAGCAGCATGGCTGCCGTGTGGGCGGGGGTCTTGAACGTGGTGCGCTGCCTGTGGAACACCTCCACAATAGCGTCCTGCTGCTCCCGATCAATGTCACGACATGCGGATAAACAAGATGCAATCATTTCCTCGTAACGTCGCAGAATCTTGCTGATCTGGCGTGTGTCGCTGTCCACCAACTTCAGCATGCCCATGATGGGCTCTAGCAACTTTCATAGAGCTCTCAAATCGTCCCACCATGGAGGGGAGCCGATACATGCAGTGACCTCCGCTGCATCCTTGCGGATCTTGCTGGTCGACCAAACAGTCTCGCGCCAGCGATCGTC